CAGAGACGACAGAGAAAGAGAGAGGGAGAGGAGGGAGTGTGAAAGAGATAGGGAAAAGGAAAAGAAAGGGAGAGGAGAACACGTGAAAGGGAGAAGCGACGGGATGTTGATAGTGATGGTGCTGACGATGATGTCAGGGATCGCGACAGGAAGAGGCGTAAAAGAGATGATGATGATTACAAGGAGAGAGAGCGAGATAGAGAACAGAGTGTTAGTAGGTCAAACAGGCACAGGGATGACAGTGAAGAGAGTCCAAGGAGAAAGAATGTCGAGAATGATGCTGATAAGAGGGACAAGAAGACACGAGAAGAGGAATTAGAGGATGAACAGCGGAAGTTAGATGAGGAAATGGAGAAGCGGAGAAGAAGAGTTCAGGAATGGCAAGAGTTAAAGAGAAAGAAGGAAGAATCTGAGAGAGAAAAGCGTGGGGAAGAAAATGCGGATGAACCGAAAGCTGGGAAGGCATGGACCCTTGAAGGAGAATCTGATGATGAAGAAGTACCTCCTGTAGGGAAATCAGAAACAGACTTGGATGTCGATCAAGATGCCAAGGTTAGTAATGGAGAAATTGGAGATTCGATGATGTTGGACTCTGAAAATGCAACAACGATAGCATCTTCTCAGAATGGGAATGATGGAGGCACTGGAGAAGAGGAAATTGATCCACTCGATGCTTTCATGAATTCTATGGTGTTACCTGAAGTTGAGAAGCTGAGCAATTCTGTGGCTCCTCCAATTGTAAATGATAATAATTTGGACTCTAAGAAGAAAGATAAGGGGGGTAATTGGAAAAATGATGAACAGCCAAAGAAAGGTTCAAATAAATCTCTGGGGAGAATAATTCCTGGTGAAGACTCTGATTCGGATTATGGGGACCTTGAGAATGAGGATGATCCTTTACAAGATGAAGATGATGATGAGTTCATGAAAAGGGTGAAGAAGACAAAAGCTGAGAAACTATCTATTGTTGATCACTCAAAAATTGATTACAAACCATTCCGGAAAAATTTTTACATCGAAGTGAAGGAGATCTCGAAGATGACTCCAGAAGAGGTTGCTGCATACAGGAAGCAATTAGAATTAAAGATACAGGGGAAGGAGGTACCAAAACCAGTTAAAACTTGGCACCAAACTGGACTTACTAGTAAAATTTTGGAGACAATAAAGAAGCTCAACTATGAAAAGCCCATGCCAATCCAAGCTCAGGCATTACCAATAATTATGAGTGGTAGAGACTGCATTGGTATTGCAAAAACTGGATCAGGAAAAACCCTTGCTTTTGTGCTGCCAATGTTGAGGCATATCAAGGATCAGCCACCTGTAGTAGCTGGAGACGGCCCGATTGGGCTTATAATGGCGCCTACTAGAGAGCTTGTTCAGCAGATCCATAGTGATGTAAAGAAGTTTGCTAAGGCAATGGGTATCAGATGTGTTCCTGTATACGGAGGCTCTGGTGTTGCTCAGCAAATTAGTGAACTAAAGCGGGGGACCGAGATTGTTGTCTGCACTCCAGGTAGAATGATTGATATACTCTGCACAAGTGGAGGGAAAATTACCAATCTACGTAGGGTCACTTATCTGGTCATGGATGAAGCTGATAGAATGTTTGACATGGGTTTTGAGCCTCAAATAACTCGAATTGTTCAGAATATTCGACCTGATCGGCAAACTGTGCTTTTTTCTGCAACTTTCCCTCGTCAGGTTGAAATTTTGGCTCGCAAGGTATTGAACAAACCTGTTGAAATACAGGTTGGTGGTCGGAGTGTTGTAAACAAGGATATAACCCAGTTAGTCGAAGTAAGGCCTGAAAGTGAAAGATTTTTGAGACTGTTGGAAATTCTTGGTGAATGGTATGAGAAAGGAAAAATTTTGATTTTTTGTACACTCACAGGAAAAATGTGATGCTTTATTTAGGGATTTGATCAAGCATGGTTATCCTTGTCTCTCACTTCATGGGGCTAAGGATCAGACAGATCGTGAATCCACCATTTCTGATTTTAAGAGCAATGTCTGCAATCTGATGACTGCAACAAGTGTTGCTGCTAGGGGTTTAGATGTGAAAGAGCTTGAACTGGTGATAAACTTTGATGTCCCTAACCACTATGAAGACTATGTCCATCGTGTTGGGAGGACGGGTCGAGCAGGACGAAAAGGATGTGCCATTACATTTATCTCCGAGGATGATGCAAGATATGCTCCTGATCTTGTCAAAGCCTTGGAACTCTCTGAGCAAGTTGTGCCTGATGATCTGAAAGCTCTTGCTGATAGCTTTATGGCCAAAGTGAATCAGGGATTGGAGCAAGCCCATGGAACTGGCTATGGTGGAAGTGGTTTTAAATTCAATGAGGAGGAAGATGAAGTTAGAAGGGCAGCAAAGAAAGCGCAGGCTAAAGAGTATGGCTTTGAGGAAGACAAATCTGATTCAGAAGATGAAGATGATGGAGTCCGGAAAGCAGGAGGTGATATCTCGCAGCAGACTGCACTTGCTCAAATAGCAGCCATTGCTGCCGCCTCAAAAGTTGGCACACCTTCAACAGCAACTCCTATCACCTCAAATCAGTTGCTTCCAAATGGAGTACCTGTTTCTCTGCCAGGTGTGCTTGGCCTGACATTACCAGGTGCAGCAGCAGTTGTGCCTGGGACTGGGTTACCTATTATTGCTGGTGATGGGGCTGCTCGGGCTGCGGCAATTGCAGCTGCAATCAACTTGCAGCATAACCTTGCAAAGATTCAAGCTGATGCAATGCCTGAACACTATGAAGCAGAGTTGGAGATTAATGATTTTCCCCAGAATGCTAGATGGAAGGTTACGCACAAAGAAACTTTGGGCCCAATATCTGAGTGGACTGGAGCTGCCATTACTACCAGAGGGCAGTTTTTCCCTCCAGGCCGGGTCCCAGGGCCTGGAGAACGCAAGTTATACCTATTCATTGAGGGCCCTACAGAACAATCTGTCAAGAGAGCTAAAACAGAATTAAAACGTGTTCTAGAGGACATTACCAATCAGGCGCTGTCGCTGCCTGGTGGAGCTCAACCTGGCAGATATTCAGTTGTATAAGTGTAAGGATTCTGTTCTGACTTACACTCGAGGCACGTCATTGGTGGACGTGAATTTTTATCTGTGATGTCACATTTATTTAATGATTTTTATGTCTGATATTTTTATTTGAATACTTGATGCAGAAAAGTTCATCCTTCTCTGGTGCTTTATAAAGTCCAAAATCAATTGTGCTCCTGTTGTTACCCATGGGGTTTTGTCCTCATTCTAATGTCACATTCTTTGATGTACTTGTAGGGATAAGGCTTAGTAATCAGTTTCTATGTGCTGACAAAGACTAAGAGTTGGCCTTGATGTTATGGTCTTTTGGAGGCAGTAGTGCTTGCTAAAACAGGAAAATTAGAAAATAGAACTCCTTAGTATGCATTCTTTCTCTGCATGATATGGGAATTGTTGGATGATGCCTAAGGCATAAATTTTTCTTTTGGTGGTTTTCAGGATAGTGTTTAAATGCTATTAAATTTGTGATTTCCACTGCTCTTTCCCCTTTTTAATTTTCTTTTTTCTCTTTTGTTTATCTTTCTTCTATGGCTCGAGGGATGATTTAAGCCTATGTCCGCATGTCCAATATAGACTCTGTCCATTACCTGCTATGGGCGCTGTCAAAGAGACGGCAATCTGGTGCGATGCTTTTGCTTTGAGCAACATATTGGATGGTTCCATAATCATTTTTTATACCTTTGCCATAGTAGTTCCACTTGTGGGATATTATCTCTATTCCATTGTGTTTCTGCAGGTTTGGTTGGAAAGACCTCAGAAGCCTCTTGTTTCTTTGATCTCAGCTTTGTCACTGCTCAGGCATCCTCATGAGTATTAAAATTTGAAAACATCTTCTGCTGGTTTTATGCCATATTGGTTAATTCCACAGGTGATTTTCAATTATATTGACAAAGTTAGGAAGGAAAATTATAGGTGGATAATTACCTGAGTTGTTAGCCCTGGTGTTCAGGAAACAGGTTGGCCTGGTACCCTGCTCATCCTCCCTAAGCTCATGAGAAGGATGGTTGTTAGCGTAAGCATCTACCGCTGAGTCTACTTTCAGTTATATGCATTAACTTGTATTTCCTTAAGTAATCTCTACATTTGGAATTCTTTTTTTTTCCTGGGAGTTGGTGTTGTAAAAATGTGGGATCTTTCCATTGGTCGTCATAGGGAGACGTGTGTGGTGAAGCTTTTCTGTGAAGCTATTCTAGTAGTTATTGTCTTTACTATTGTATTAGCCTGAAGTACAATTTCGGTAGAGTTGCTTCTGGCTGGAGGAATATCAAGTTTGGAGGTGTTGCTGATTCCAGATTTGGTGTGTTCCGCTGAGTGCCTATTTGGTTAGGTACTTGGTTTGTGTTTTCGCTGCTGTTAAATTATAAACACACACCAATTTTTAGTTTTTGATAAAGGTAAACTAAAAATGGAAAATAAATGTTTTGAGATATAACTATATTTATTAGTTGAATAATTGTAAAAATATCATCTTATTATTCATTGTTTATTTTATAACATGATTAATTAAATTTAATTTTTATGTTTTTCATTAATTATTTTTAGGAGAAAAGTTTTAAGTTCAATATTTTTACACAATAACTACTTTGGTATGTTCATTTGCAAAGCTCTGATTGGTCATGCCAAGTGTTGGACTAATCAGACAAGAAAAAGTATCAGTTGGAGTGCTTTAACTTACATCAACTTTATCTGGTGCTCCTTTACGCCTGTCCTGATTATCCGTTTATCAATGAACGGGAAAAGCTTTAAGACTGAGAATTCGTAGTTTCAAAGGGATACGAGTATTTTTATATTGGTATGGCCTCTGAACTATGAATTATGATGGAAAACGACTTATATGGAAGTGGCAAATGCTTTTGATTGAATCAAATATATTTTCACATAGAGAATTTATGCAGTGAATTGGCGGCCAAAAAGCCCTGGTGTTTTGATGCCAATAAACTTTTGTAAACTTCTTAAATGCAAAACAAAAGAAACTCGCAATTAAAATTTGTTTATTTAACGGATATTATCAAAATTGAGGCAGAGATTAGTTGTTCATTTAATCAGAACTTGTATGGATGTCGTTCTTCAAAATGACACATTGTTGAGTGGCGTGGTAAAAGTAATCCCTAGCAATTTAACCAACTGCAGCCGTGCTGAAAACTAAACGGAAAACAAGGATTACTGGATGCGTCTCATCATGGGGAATTGTTAGATGGTCCGGAGAATGAAGCCGAGGGGTGTACATTATTGATTCTTTGTATAGTACCATATATGTTTGCATGTATGTATGTATGGATTCTTGCGTATGATTTCCTCTTCCCCGCTTTGACTGTCTTTTCGCCTTTAGTTGTATACGTAAGTAGTGTATGTTGTAGAGTCGTGGGTTGTTGTCTTTCTCAGGGGTTGGATGAAGATGAAACTTGTTTAGCTTCATCATTTTAGGTGCCTTTCATCTATGATTTTTTCTAGTAGAGTAATACGAGCTTATTATGCTTGGTTGATTGCTGGGGAAAGGGAAGGGAATCAGGAAAGAGTTTTAATGTCATGGTCACTTTAGGAGTTTTAATAAATGCTACAGTAAGCAAATTATTAAAGAAAAAGAAAGTAACAGTTAGCAAACAGGTCAGGAATCACCATACCTAGGACAAATCATCATATATACAGCCCAGTACACGTTTCTTTTTTCTCAACATAGTTGTTCTCAGCTTTCCATGCAAAGATTTTTGTCTCTAGAGGTTCATCATCTTATTTACCGACCACAAAAATCAGAATCAGATGCATGTAGTTGGGTAGTCTAATTGGTGTTTTCGATTTGAAGTTAAAGCTCTAATCACGTTGTCCTCTATCTCACTGTAGTCTCGGTTGATCCTAATTGTGACGCATAAATTTATTTGCATATATCTCCTGATTTTTTTTTTAAAAAAATATTTCCTAGCACATCACCCCCACTGGTTTAGTAATTAAGTAAATGAGAAGTTATATTCCAGTTGAACTTATAGTATTTATTGCATGTAGTTGTTTTAATTATTAAATTCAAACGTGATAGTTTTTATTGTTATCTTCCCAAATGTAACGGGGGCAAAAACGAAAGTTTATACATGTGCTGACAAAGGAGTCGTCAACGGATCAATCAAAGTTGGATTTGCCAACATTTCAAAAACCGTTGAAATTGGGGCGTGCAATGAATTCACACAATACACCTTGTCGGTAACGAGGATAGAGCTGGAGAGGAAGATGGAGAGGGTCACGAAAACCGTGTCGTTTCAACCAGGAGGATTACGTGGGAGGCCTGAACTTACGCTGACTTCGCCAACTGATCCCCCTGAAAATCTGAACTGCATACTTCGTGACTCTTCGTAAATCTCTCCTTCATATATGTTCAACCGTGCTTCTTGCTTCAATCATTGAAGTAATTAACATTTTTTTTTTAATTTAAAATGGAGAAAAATATTTCCTTTTTACTTTGTTCTGATACTTGTATATGGCTTTTGGTCACCAAACTAGACATTTCCTTGGGGAGTCTGCACGTGGCATTGCATGAGACCAAGAAGAAAGTCCATTGAGGAGAGGAAGAAGAGAACAGAAACACCTTCTCAAACGTCTGCTTTATTCATATATCCATCACTTCTTTGCTGGTTCGTCTGTGGTTTCCTTTTTTTTTTTTTTTCTTGTTTTATAGAATCTTTTATTTTGTTGATAAATTCTATCACATATTGGTATATCATCCTTTTGGGTCTTCAAATAGTCAGCTTTAAACTTCGTTTAATTAGCTTTTTATTTTTTTTGCAAGTCCATTGAATGATTTCTCAACTGCCGTCATGGGTGTGCTAAAAATACTGTCAATCGAAGCAGAGAGAGATATAGATGTGTAGGATTGTAAATAAGAGTTGCATTAAATAAAATAGATTATACATTTTAAATTTAATTAAAATTTAAGAAGATGGAGACAGCTTCTACCTCATTCAAGGCTGCTCATCTTTTGCAGATCTCCCCAAAAATAGTTGAAATTTGATAAGAAGATGGCACTTTTGGATCTCTTCATCGCCTCTTCAATTCCGGTCTTGAAAGTCTTGCTGATAACTGGACTTGGCTTCTATCTTGCTCTTGACTCTGTCGATGTCTTGGGAGAAGACGCCAGGAAACATTTAAATAATGTCAGCTTCTTTATTTTCTTTGCTTTCTTCTTATTATACGACTCTTTAACTATTTGCTCAACCGCAGGTCGTGTTTTTTGTCTTCAATCCAGCCTTGGTAGCCAGCAACCTTGCTCAAACAATAACATATGAAAGCATGGTCAAATTGTGAGTCTCATTTTGTTTTTTGTTTTTTTTTGCCTTTTAATTATCTTAAGTATCTTGATTGAATATTTGTGTAGGTGGTTCATGCCATTCAATATTCTCATCACCTTCATCATTGGTTCCTTACTCGGCTGGATAGTTCTTCAGATCACAAGACCTCCCCCCAATCTTCGTGGTCTTATTTTGGGTTGCTGTGCTGCCGGTACTCAAATTCTTCCATTTTATTCTTAATCCGGTACGATATATGTTGGATATAAAGACTGTCCCAAAGGAAAAAGACAGTTCAGGACATTGGCTAAGAGAGTAATATCTTCATTTGGGTTGATTTGAACAGGGAATTTGGGGAACCTGCCTCTAGTCATAATCCCAGCTATCTGTAAGGAACAAGGAAGCCCATTTGGATCTCCTGAGGCTTGCCGTACATATGGTTTGGCTTATGTTTCACTTTCAATGGCAGTAAGTTGTTCATCCAGAGCTGTCTTGTGAATTCTAAACGCAAAGATTAAATTAATAAAAGAATTTGATTTCTTCTTATGATGGTTCAGGTTGGAGCCATTTATCTGTGGTCTTATGTCTACAATCTTGTTCGTGTATCATCGGTTCCGAGTGTGAAAGAAACAGAGATAAACGACTCCTCTGTTCAAAAATCTCCAAGAGAAACCTCCACATCAGATAAGGCTCAAGTCACTGAGCCCCTACTTTCTTCTAAGGAATTTTTAGCTTCTGGAGACCATCAAGATCAGTATACACTTCCCTGCACCAGATATGATGGCAGAACTGAGGTCTCTACCACCTTTGGTCCTTTTTCTTCTATCTTACGTCCATATATGCTGGATTCAGCAGAAGAATCAGACAAATAGCTAATTTTTAATTTCAGTTCAACATTAGATCTTGAAATTTTTCATCAAACTATTGACTTACTAATATCAATTCCTTCAAAATGACATTCTTTTCTATACTGAGTTGCTTTTATTTGTTGAATCTTGGTTTTATTGACAAGGCACATATCCATTTCTTCTTTTACAGTGCTCTGTAATTTTCTGCTGATTTTTGTTTGTCTCTGTAGACCACTGATAGTAATTCTTGAATTTCCGTGACAGGTGACAGCTTCAAGTAAAATCAAGCAAAAACTAAAGTCAGTCATGGACAACATTAATTTCAAATTGTTATTTGCTCCTTCAACCACCGCCGCAGTACGAGTTTTTTTGCCTTCCCATTTTTCTGCATTATACAGCCTTTAAGCAGCACTGAGTACTTCCCCAGTTATATCAAGAGAGAAGAAGAAGCTAAAGTTTGACTTTACTAAACTTAGTTCCTCCTCCAACGTAACATGAGCATGTTTTCAATTTTGAGAGAGGATAAAGATAAACACTACAATTTGTACATAAGAAAGCAAGCTTCCTGTTGACACATCCAGTTAATTTTGCACTTGATTTATATACAGATTGTCGGGTTCGCAATTGGGCTGATTCCTCTAGTTCGAAAAGCAATGATTGGTGATAGTGCTCCTTTGCGTGTAATCCAAGACTCTATTTCCTTGGTGGGGTATAAATTCTAACCAATAACTCAGTTATTTCAACTTTGAAGATGGATTAAATCCCAATCAAAAGGTCTTCGAAGCTAGCTGCATCACGTGTCAAGCATTACCGGCTTCTTTCATTTTTCTCTTGAAATTTTATAACATTAGAGTTTCTCTATTTTTGTATCTCTTTGCAGAGATGGAGCCATCCCTGCTCTCACCCTCATAGTAGGAGGAAACCTTGTAAGAGGTAGAAAGAAGGAAAAAAAGGTTTCGTTTGGAAGTTGATTTTCTTTCTCTGGTCTGTTCGAAATCCCCATCAAATTGTTGGTTATGTTCTTCAGGTTTGCGAGGGTCAGGAATTCGGATGTCAATCGTTGTTGGCATTGTGATTGCTCGCTATGTTGCTCTGCCTACCATTGGTGTTTTTGTCATTTGGGGGGCACAACGTGTTGGGTTTTTGGATAATGATCCTCTCTATACATTTGTTCTGCTGATTCAATATGCAGTACCACCTGCTATGAACATAGGTACGCTGCAAAACAATTTTGATGCATCTTAACACTTTTTGTTCAAGTGGAAATTGAGTAAACAATTTTGGCGCAAAATTGGGCAGGTGTGATCACTCAATTATTTGGCGCAGGGGAGAGTGAATGCTCTGTTATCATGTTATGGACCTATGCATTAGCCTCAATTGCACTTACTATTTGGTCCACTTTTTTCATGTGGCTTGTCGCTTGATTTCTCCACAAGTCATCAAAAAGTCTAGCAATGATGATCAACATCTCTAGCTTGTAGGATGTTTGTAATCTTAATCTATGACAAGGAAAAGCATCAACTAAGTGGTGGTAGGTAGTTGAAAAATTGTAACAAATTGCAGTACAAAATGTCTATATCTTGGAGGATTGTTGTCATCCTTTAAGCAAATTTTGATCTGAACAGACATATCAGCAAAGTCTTTCCCATGTTTACAAGAACTTGTTTTGCTGAAAACAAATCAAGTAAAAACTGTATTCATTTGAATTTAAGTTTTACTTTTTTAAGTTGCGAAAATCTCAAGAAAGTTCAAGATAAGAATGAAAATGGTTGAAGCGGCTGTATTCTGATGCATGTATTTTTTTTCTTCTTTAATCACATTAACTAAAATGGAAGCTCGATAAGCAGGATGATGTCTTCAACAAAACTTACACAAGAAATAATCTTTCAATAGTCAGAAACAAGCAATTCAAAGTTGGTTTATGCTTGAGAGAAGCAAAATACATTCATACTACATGGCATCCTCAATCAAAAGATGAATTTGTGATCAACATCTGTCTGGTTCAGAGATTGGACTTGTCCAGTTCATCGAAGTAAGGGTGTTCCATAGCTTTCTTTGCTGAAATACGCTTTGAGGGATCGTACTGCAACATTTGCTGCAAACAAGAAGAAACAATCTCAATCGTTTAAATTGTATAATACCTACAAATTAACTAACTAAACAATGAATGGTTGAAACTTACCGAAAGCAGATCAACCCCATCCTTGTCCAACTTAGGAACAGCCGACGACAAACTTAAGGGGCTCCACTGTGGGTACTCATGCCAGTTTACCAGGCTGCTTACCCCAGGCCACACTTTTTCATTTGGAGTACCAAGCAACCTTCTCACAATTTTAAAAGAACTCAGAAGGACAATAATCATTAGAAAGAAAATGGATGAATATCATTATGAAAATAGTCATTTTACCTGAAAATATGTAGGAGCTGTTGGAGTTCAGAATCTCCAGGGAAGAGGGCGTGGGTTGTGACCAGCTCGGCTAGAATTCAGAATAAAGGGAATGATTAATCAAATATACCAAGTGAGCAAGACTTAAAGATAGTAAATATATCAAATATATCAAATATTTGTACCGAATATGCAACCAACAGACCAGACATCAACTGCAGTTGAGTAATGGGTAGCTCCCAAAAGGACTTCGGGAGCTCTGTACCATAGAGTTAAAATCTGTAGAAATACAAACACTCAAAGTTCACCAACATTTGAAAATACTATATTTTGCATGAAGTAAAACAGTTAACAAAGAAAATTTTTTTTACCTCGTGAGTGTATTTCTTAATTGGAAGAGTAAATGCTCGAGCTAAACCCAAATCTGCTATCTTAAGGGACATTGTCTGTCGATCCATTAGGAGATTGTGAGGCTTAAGATCCCTGTGACAAAGAAAGAGTGCAAGATAAAGGACAAGTTTTATCTGATTTAAAGCGAAAATTGAAGAAAATACCTGTGTAACACTCCATGTGCGTGGCAGAAGGCAACACCTTTACAGAGTTGGTACATCAGGCTCTACAACAGGTTCGTTCAAGATCGTGTTATTGACTTAAAAATTTGAAATTTGTGAAAAAATAATCATAAAACCAGATATCGTCCATGCCTTGACCGTCTTAGCAAGGATGTTCTCTCCAGTGTGGCAGTGGCTCTTAATGAATTTCTTGAGATCAGTGTCCATGTACTCAAAAACCAGATAGAGAACTGTCTTCCCTTCTTTATTCTGTGCTTGTTTGACATCAAGCAATCTGTACAGATCATCCGAAGAAACTAACATAAGATCTAGATGCTGAAGCAAACGGCAACAACCAATCGCAAATTTAAGCAGGAAAAACCCAACAGATGAGATTCACAAGGGGGTGGCAATTTAAGGCAGAAAATCCCCCGTGGTATCAACAGATAAATAATATCTTCAAAGGTTCGGTAACTTCACCAGAGATACATATCATAATAAATCAAAAGAAACAGCTTTTCTAGCGGTTGCGATTGTAAGAGATCCAATAAGAAAATGGGGCACATCAAGATCCCAAATGAGAAGACTTTAAACCCTTCAATTAACAAAACAAAGCGAAAAGCTATATGGTAAGAAAATAGAAATATCAAGGCAAAACGTAAATTAGGAACTCTAAGGATTATATCGTGAGGGTCACAAACAAGATTTTCACTGGAAAAAGTGGTTGTCAGAACCGATCGCCCAAGATCTTAAAGAAGCATTACCAAGAAGACCCAAGACAGAAGAAGTTCCTCAAAATCAAAGAAACCCAGTACCTCCGGAAAAAGCAAATCAGTGCAGATGTGGCAAGAAAGACGAAAAGAGAAAAGGAAATGAAGGAGAGAGAGAGAGAGAAAATAGGGTGTTTACCTCACGACATGTGGATCGCGAGAAAGCATACGCAAGATAGAAACCTCACGGAGAGTGGTGGGTGGCACTCCTTCATCATCCTCATGGAGACGGGTCTTCTTAAGAGCGACGGTCTTGCCGGTAGCCTTCTCGATCGCTCTGTAAACCTTCCCGTATGTACCCTCACCAACTTTCTCAAGCTTTTTGAAAGCATCCATGGCCGATGTCACTGTTGGCTTCTCAATTTTCTTTCTCTATATCTTTATAGAAAAAGCTGTTTCTCTCTTTCTCTATCTCTATGTATCTCTCGGAGTTTTTCCCTTGGTGTGGGTAAAGAAAAAGAGTCGCAGGGGTGTCGCTTATAGAAGGGGGGCGCGTGGGGGGATGGATGTAGCCGTTAGGGCAAGGAGAGAGTCTTTCATCCGCAACGAATATATTTTTTTGAATTTCAAAAAACATGGGTCGAACTTTTATTTCCAGAAATACCCCTATTTCTATTACGCTCTTGGGCCTTCAATCGGTTTAAGGTTAAAAAAAAAAGGCTCTTCCAATTAGGGCCCAATATCCAACGGCTCCCGCACCCGCAAAAATCAATAAGCCTACGGTTATTGTGAACAATAAATTTTAATCATATATAGTTGAATTTATTTTTAAAATTAAAAAAAGTAACCAAATTAATTTGTGTTTGTATGTAGTTTTAATTTTTTTTTTTTCAGAAAAAAATTATGTAGGTTGAGAGTTGAATTTGTAATTAACATGCAATTTTATTGATCCACATGAAAATTACAATATATTCTTTTTAGAAGAAATTATTTTATGGGACATAATATATTGCGGTCTTATAATCTTATTAAATAATTTGGAGTTAGCTAATGAGTTGAGGGATAATATAAAATTTTTTCTGTATTTTTATAGTTTGTATTAAATTGTACTTTTTCAATTTTATTATCATTTTCTGTAATGTTGGAATTAAAATACTTTTAGGTATGTGTTAATTTATCTATTTTTAAAGGAGGTGTTAATTAACTTTTTGAACTTATATGAATTTATATTTACCATAATGATCATATAAGTTCAAAAAGTTAAGGAACTTTCACATATTATTTTCAAAAGTTAAGGACTTCTTTAAACTGCCAGAAGTCCCTCAAAGTTCAAATTAATGTTGAGCAATTTCAAATAAAATCCTGTTAACAATCTACTGAAGCATCCAACAAGCCTGTTTTAACCTCTGCTGCTGCCTCCCTCAATCCACTTCAAGACATTTTTCCTACTTACGTCCGCCCAGAACTCATGTATCTTTTTACACAACTGATCCTAGACTATTGAGCTGTTAAGATCATGTATTATCTTAGATTTTACAGGTAAAAGCCAATCACACTTGGGCATAATCCGCCCTTTCTCTATGCTACACAAGATATCTACATAAACTCAGTGGAGGTATACTGCCACATTCCCTCTGCATCAATCTTTAACGTTCAGCCTCACACTCTGAACTTTCACTGATATCTTTAATTTCTGTTCTTCCAAGTCCTTCAGAACATAGAACAGTTTTGCTCGATATGCTTCACATTGTTGACTAGCATTTTCCAGTTCAGCCGTCAATTCCTGAATCTCTTTGTCTTGATCCTACAAAAGATCATTCCAAACAAAGATGCGGCAGAACTAGTAAGAAATGACAGTTCTAGAAACAAATGCCAGAGAACCAAACCAAGAGATAAAAATGATGAATTTTATTGAATGGTGTAGGGCCCTAACTCAGAAAACTAAATTTGCAGCTAATTTAAACTAAACCATCCAGGAAGGTGCTTCATGTTGAAGGAATTTTGAAAACATAGACTAATTTCTGCTGATAGCTAAATGTCATTTGCAAAGGAGAGACTGCTACAATCACTACAAAGAGTTCTTTCATAAAAATACTGTTGATGAAATATCAACCAGAATGAAAATCTAAACTTCTATGGGATAAACTTACTGATGATATGCCTGGCTAATTTCATATATGCTAATCAAAAAGCAACTCAACACCGCACCAAAAGAAAATGCCTTACAGCACATATGACAGCATTTCTTCTTGGATTCTAAATCTGTTAAATGAACATCTGAAACAGCAGCATATGTCAAATCCATGTCTTTCTCAGGACATGCATGCCCCATCACATGGTAGCAAACTTGAAACTAATTTATTAACATCCAAAACCTTTCAGAAGATCTGCTACCAGATTAGTTAAACGTTCATTCAGTACACTTTAACAACCAGAGATTGTACAATAGAGTTGTCTAGCTTTTGTCTCAACTTTTAAGTTAATTAGCTTCCACGCCGACTTTTTGAAATAATTGTGTATTTGTATATTGGACCAAGGAACTTGAATTTTAATAAAGCACAAAAGGGAAAACTATTTAAAGAGAAACAGTTCGAAGTAATCAGTACTTACAAAGGAGAATAAGGAGAACAAGAGCAAGGAAAGATGAGCAAAAAATGACAATGATGTTGAACATGATCATGATATGATAACTAAATAACACATTAGTGTAGCTCAACAGAAAGATAATTGAGTTTGATTTTCACTTATTTTTTTAGGATGATATAGGCTATAAAACCTTTAAAACAAAAATATATACATACTTTTGCTTTAAAGAATTTTCACATGCATTGTTTGCTTGAAAGTAATATATAATTTGATTTAGTTATAATACCAATACTACATCTAAAGTTTCATCTAAATTTCAGTTAAGTATTATATCAAGAAGTACGTGACTGATCTCTCAATTCAAAGAATTAAGATTTTAATTCATAATTCAAACCCCAAACTGTTTGCTAATAGCCATAAAAGAACAGCGTAACCATAGCTTTAAATTGAGACTAAAAATGAGACTTGTAAGCAGAAATTAATGGAGTAACAATTTCCCATTAACCCTCAAAGAAAAATGGAAGGAAAAACAATAGAAGACTTAGGAGACGGACTTCTACATGCCAAAACATTTTTAAGGGAAATACTGAACAACACTATTGCATCTTTTATGAGCAAGGCACTGACCGTAGAGCATGTCTGAAGTTGTAGGTTGTCATCAAGCAGAGTATTTTGTCTTATTCCAGTATCAGTCCTTTTAGCAGCAGCAACTTTTTTAGCAGCCACACGGAGTGCATCAATTGCCACATGGAAAACATGAATCGACTCTGTCCCCTCTTCTATATATTTGATAGCTTCCCGTCCTAGATTGTCATAACGAGCAGCATAAGACTCTAGAGAATTATTTGCCAATCCTAGAGTTTGATGATCCAATGCAACTCCACTCTTTGCATTTCTTGTCCATCGTTTCAAGATATAATGAGATGGAAGTGTGAGAACATTTGTAACTCTAAAAACTGCCAAGATATGCCTGCAAAGGATGCCTGAAAACTCAAACATTTGGCAGCTACAACAAGCTTTCTTTTCCAACATGCTGAACCTCACAAAATGCGATTTATGCTCTTGCCCAAATTTTGCAACTCTGTAAATAACTTCTAATCCCGTATCATCAATTATGGTAGCAAGATATGCAAGAGTCTCAACTAATTCCTCTTGGAATTTCATAAATACTTTCCTCGTATAAATATTTGCTGCTTGCTTTTCCATGGGAGATGGAGTTTTTAAAATTGGTACAGTATTCACTGAATCATAATCTGCTCTTACTTCCTTCTCATACCTAACAGCAATTGCTTTCTCATATTGCTTGATTAGTACCTGAATACTAGTGGATGCATTTATATATCCGTCAAAGTAGGAATTGATATTATCACTAGATTGGTTTACAGACATCTCCCCGAAGAAAGTATCACGAAGATAAACTGGTACCCATTGCTGGCGAGCATTGTACATTGACTGAAGCCATTCATTATCTGAAAGACTATACCTTTGATGAAGAGACTCCCAACATGATTCAAACTCCTCAACTGTCTCCGTCAGATTAATGCACCTCTGGAACTCTAATTCAAAAGCAGGGTACAAGCGATATATATCAGACAGTTTCTCTTGAGCCTCTTTGAATACATTCCATTTACAAAATCTGTGACGGGTCCCTGGGAAAACTTGTGCAACAGCTGCCCTAATGATCCTATCCTGGTCTGTTGTGATTGAAATGGGATGATGACCAGAGATTGCTGCAAGCCAGGTCTGAAATACCCAAACAAATGAGGATTCTGATTCATTTAGAAGCAAAGCACATCCAAATAATACAGGCTGTCCATGATGGTTCCATCCAGAAAAAGGGGCGAAGGGGACCCGGTAACGATTTGTTCTATATGTAGTATCAAATGTAACACTGTCCCCAAAGTAACTATAATTCAGCCGTGAAGTCGAATCAGCCCAAAAGATATTTCCTAATGAGTTCTCAGAATCACCCTGGACAGAGAAGAAAAAATCAGGATCTTCAGCCTGCATTCTATTTAAATAGTCAAAGAGAACCTGACCCCCACTTCCAAGTGTCCTCTGCCTGCTACTACTCATGTAATTCTGGCAATCAACTTTGGTAAAGCCAACATTGTTAATTCCACCCGATTCTTTGATCAATACAGACATAACCCCGCTAGGTCCCATCCCTGCTGCCTGAAGTGTGTCAATGAGGCTTCGTGCAGGGCCTGAAACGTGTCTATGAGATCTCAGGCAATGGACCTTATCAGGGGGAACAAGCTCATGATTGTGCTCCTTTGCAAATTTAGACACTGCCCATTTCCCAGAACTCTGCTTCTTGACTGTCATCTGTGCCTTGCACCCGACTCTAGTGATAGTACGCTGCCGTTTGGACCTGTTTTCACCCCCTTCACGGCGAAACCCCTCGCGGGAACACACAATTTGGCGGCATATGATGGAGCCATCCCGGCGGGATCGCTGGTAGACACTTACCCGAGTACTAAAACCGGTTCGGCGAGCATAGGAGTTGTAGAAAATGCGCGCGGCTTGCTCTGAATCAAATTCCATACCTTCATAAGGTTCAAGGTTCATACCCCCGTTTGAAGGCGAGAAATGGGAAGCTGTGAAAGGAGCTTCTTCCACAAACTCCCGATTGAAATCATCGTCAGAGTCATCGGCGTTTTCTAAGTCTCGAGTGGTTGCATCATCTTCGGCCATGCTATCAAAATCCACTTCATTTCCGATACTTAGAGGCTCAAAATCCATTTATAATTAATTATTATATTGGGATGATAATGAGGATAACCACACAGCATCAAACTTTGTCTTTACATTAAAATTTACTTGTGTATCTATAGAATAAAGTAAGAGGTGTAGAGTTCTAGCGGACTGAAAAGTTAAAAGCGGTGGGAGAGAGGGTGAGGGGGAGGAGAGAAACTGACCGGATATCGGGAGTGTAGAGATAGCAAAGCAAGGACCAAAGAGAAGTGAGCCGCGCTCCAGAGTAATGGACTAACGAGGATTTACAGAGTTGCTTTAAGCAGAAATTAGAGAGTTGAAATGAGAGTGAGAGTGAGCGGGAATGGTTTTGGGGAGGGGTTGATTGAGGGTTTTTTCAGTTTTCGTTTGGGAAAAAATTTGGGTGTTTGGCAGGAAGATGGAACTGGTTTGGCATTTTATATGAAGCAATGATTTGTTGCCACGCGGAACATATTATCGATCTGTTACGCAGATCACTAGTGTTGACTTGATCCATCAGGACTTGCTCTCCCTTGTAGAATATGTTATTTTCACCATCAATGGCAATAGAGCAAGCTTCAAGGAGGGATATGAGGAAATCAGATCTATCCCCTCCTAATGCATGTATATAGAGCAAGTTGGCAAATCACTAAGTTAATTTTTTACGGTGTAGTTATTAATATATTTTTTTATGTTTATAAAAGAATCTGAAAATGCAATAATATATTTAAATAATTTAAGAAACAGTTCAACGTAAGTCCTGATTTAATTTGAATTTTAAAATAATTAAAACTATAAAAAAATAATAATATTATTATGATATTAATCTGACTTTGTATATCTTATAAATATATATTTTCTTTCTTATCAAATTAAAATATACATGTCCCCAAAAAAATTTAACTTTCCAAAATCCAAAACTTTTCTCTCTTGACTCAGTCATTTCTTTTTTCTTTTTCTTTTCTTTTTCCATTGCTCTTCTTCTTCGCCACCTTTTCGCCCATCTTCCATCTTCTCTCACCGTCAATCTTTCCACGTCGTCACTCTTCGCTCGCAGTTACTCCTTCTTGTTCACCGTTGCTCGCTTGTTCATCATGAGATTAGCCGAGGAAACAAAGCAGTGAATGACAATGGCTTTGCAAAAAGAATAAAGAAAATGTGAGCAGGTGAAGTGGAAGAATTATATATATATACATATAATGTAGGTACAGATTCGAACAGGATTTAAAACGCCAAATCCTTAACCCGCTTTGCCGTACTTATTTTCGAATCAAAATCTGGGTGAATGTTGTCATCTCTAGTTTCATGATTAGTGCATGTAATGTAAAATTGTTTTAAAAAATATATTTTTAATAAAAACAATTTTAAAAGGAAAAACAGTACAATTGTTGATAAAATCTTTTTGAAAAATATTTTAATATAAAATCATGATATTTATTTAGTTAATTATATTATAAAATTAATAATAAATGTTGAATAATAAAAAATTATTTTAATAACTTAACTTATCTTAAAATATTTGAACTTATTTTATTTAATAAATTATTATTTCATTCTAAATTAAATAATTATAGTGAACATTAAATTACTAATCATAAACTAATATTATATTTTTATTTTTAAAATTAAGTTTATCAATTTATTAAAACATAAAGTTATTATTCGCAGAAATTAGTATCTATCTTAATTTTTCAAAAAAAAAAAATTCATTACCGGAAGTAAAAAAAAAAAATTATATTTTTACTTGAACATTCTGTCTTTCATATTTTGCCAGATTTTTATTTTTTAACAGGAGAAGCGGAAGCTCAAATAAGGTCAAGCCAAATAAGTATTTGTTGTTATTCCCTTTTTTTTTTTTTGAAGAGAATTCAATCGAAAATAGAGATTACATAAAAAAAACATCATCATATTAAGAGCACATGGAGAATTTCTAGTTAAGAAATTGAGTCCCCTAATTACACTGCTCAAAAACTCAAAAGATTCTTTTCAGTAAAGATTAAATATTCTCAACTCACAAATTCAACTCCCTACATTCACATTAAAAAAACTAACAAACCCAACTCCCTACAGTGTCATTAAAGAAAATTAGATAAGCTTCCAGTCATCTTCATTTCCCCGGATAGTGATTCGGCTTATGCAATCTCAAAGAATACTGAATTTTGAAATTTTCCTCAGAGGCAAATACCATAGATCTTTATTAGATCCAAGCCTGAGTGCAAATAAAATTATTCTTTCGTCTTAGAGAATAACATGTACGCAACCGCTACAAGCGGCATACGCTAATAACTAAAAAAACTCCAAGTGCCAGTCGCCCATTAGTTGACGAGTTATTGGGAGTGAATGAGACACCGGGATACCATAAACAATACATCAGCGTTCAGTCTACCTACGGCATCCAAGAAAGTAGATGGACAATGATCTAAATATTTTATGTAGTACTATTTACCAATTATGTCAACATCGAGTCATTCCCAAGCTCCTCATATTCTAGGACGAGTTAAGGTTGTGTTGAAGACTAAAAACTGGTCAAGCCACGTCAAGTGGAACCATGCTTAATGCCATGTCCAGTCGAGGCATGCTTAAAACTGTGTAAAAGATGAGAAGGGCAAAATCATGCCTAAGCCATGTAATTAAGCCGATAAAATCAAATACCATGGCTGATATTGGCGAAAAAGAAAAGCCATATTAGAGATTGGGAACCTAAGATGAGTCTGTCAAAAGACATGCCCAAGAGTGAAACAAATGGATAATAAATTGAAACTGATGGGTAATAAACAATTCCTTTTGCAGTTCAAATGCGAGACATCTTTGGAAGCTAAAATTCCTATCTCAAAGGTTCTGGGTCATTGTTTTGTTCAAGTTTTAGTAATGTACATGGGGAATTCAAATTCAAGTCTCTCTATCATACTTAGTACAACACTAACAAAATTTTTTCCACCCAGAAGTTGAGAAAAATCTTGAATATTAAAGGTCAATTAGAAAAGATGACAGAATAGAGAACTAAGGAGGAAAATTCTCTCTTTCAACAAAACTGAGTTTATTACAAACACTCTCGGCAGTTACAGTTCAAGACAGGGAGTAAGTGAAAAGAAAATTACGCAAACCAGCAGCACCAAAATGGCCGAGAAAATACGTCATTCACTCATAGATGGATGTCTGGGTACTTGACGAAGATGAGGACATAACAGATAAAACATCCGTCACAGAAGCCATTACACTTAAAGCTGCTTTCAAGACCTCCTGAGAACACCCTGGTTTCACAATGGTCCGGACCTGGAAGAATCAAGGAAAAAATAAATCCACCATAAGTAACCCACACAAGCAATCAAAACATTTACTTGGATTACAGGTATCCAATTAGGACTAGAGAAGGAATGGAAAAAATCATAACAAATTCAGTCTGAATACTCCGTATAACCCAGCCCAATTGGAATAAATTGGTTGTCTAAAACTCTCATTTGTATCAGTTCTCAAGAATTATGAGCTATTTTGTGAGAAAGGTGCAATTGGCATGTTCACTGACAGACTCTTCTAATACTTAGAAGTGGGCAGAGAACAGGTTTGTCTAACCCAATAAAACTCAGTGTGTGAAGCCCAATCAAGATTATTCAACCTATGCATGTCAACAGAACTATGACATATGAGAAGAATTTTCTTCTCGTTATTTAGGATTCTCAGAAGTAGGCCATGTGTACAAAAGGTGCTCTTTTTCCCAAGCGTGCTAATAGTTGGTGCAATGAGAGCAAAATGGAAGAAAAGAATATGAAGATTGTTCAAGCCATGCATGTCAAGAAATATATGGTAAATGTAAAGAATTCCCATTTCATCCTGAGTGACATGCACAGGTATGCATATAAAAATGGGTAAAACATAGGTCGGAACATAATTTCAACTAGTTCTGCTGTTTCTAGCAAAATAATGATTTAGTAATAGTGTGAAAAAACCTACCCTGTCATGTATATCATGTGACAGTCATGTGATTGTCAAATAATAAAAAAGAAAAAATAACAAGTTGATTCACCAAGAAAAGGGGCAAAATGAATGTTGGTTTTGGCTAATATATGAAAAAAAAAAAACGAAGACACTACCTTGTTAATTTTTACAAAATTATATGCCCAGTTGTAAGTACCATCTAAACCTTAAGGACTTCTGTATAATTTACCCTATAAAACTTGTGTACTTTTCTTTTCATATGTACTTAGTGCTGATGCGGTCAAAACAAAATGGAAGAAAATATAAATGAAAGCACCTTGTCAAGATATTCCTGCAATTTCTTGATTCGACCCATGTAATCTTGGTCTTCAACACAAAGAGTGACAGCCTTAGCATCAGCACCAGGACCATCAAATTGAAGAGGTCCTGGATTTCTGTACAGATCATCCAGTAAAAATCTTTGTGCATTCTGTCTCAATAGGCTGCAGCAAAGATAATTCGGTATATTATAACCCAATTACTTGAGTATATAGCACAAGGAGTTGCGCGCGCAAGAGATAAATAGAGAGAGAGAGAGAGAGAGAGCAGGCATTCCATTCACATGCACCAGAGGAGTGGATGAGGGGAATTAACAAATAGAGATAAAACTTAAACAGAGAGATTCAACCAACTCAATTGCTACCAGCAAAATATCAACATACAAATACATTTGAAGCATTGCTTATCAAATATCCAACTAGTCATCACAAGAACACTTACTCATATGCTCTGCCCTTCAAATCCACAGTAGCTGGATGAATAGCAGGTTTCCCAATTGAAGTTGCACTTGCACCTGGATTTTGAGACCAACGCTTGACAGTCATCATAGCCTACAGTTTATTAAACAAATGGTCTTTCGGTGCTGAGGAATAAATTAAATGGATTGACTCATAAGGCAGGACAAAACCAGTGCCCTATACTGACAGTTCAAGATGGGTTATAAAAAGACTAGATGGGAGCCCAACCGTAAACGGTGCAGCACCGCATTTCCACTTGTTCACAGGATTCTTCAAGTTAGTAACAGTTGCCATGTAACCATTCAAACCGGCTGCGAGAATGTGATAGCAGATGTGCCCAAGAACCTGTGCAAACATTTATCATTATTAGTGAAGATTCACTAGGTTAAACATTTGAAATGAAATGGTCCATTGATAATAACATACGTAAGCATAGTCACAATCGAATTTTGATGGTAAAGATCCACGAGCTTGATAACCAAAGAAGTGGCAAATAGCATTGAATTTTTTCCCCTTGTACGTGCCTTCTTTCTGTTCAAAAGAAGAATCAAGATAAAAACTTCATAAGGTTAGATTGATGGTTAACGTAAATCATTATAAGCCTCACCAGTTCTAATTTTCATATTTGACTTTCTTTAAACGTAAAAACAATCAAAGTACTCCAGATTGTCAGCACACCAGTCATGAAGAAGATTTTTATATACTTATGCATTTATTCATACATGCCTATCTATATACGTATGTAGAAAGGACTAGAACTAGAGCAAGAAGAGCTAGCAGTAACTGCATCTCAAAACAGTGGCATTCAATTATCAGGCAATCAAGATGTATCTACAACATCCAAATCTGAACATTATAGCAAGACAAAATTGTGAAGGAAACTGGAACTAGATTTCTGCAAAAGGTTAAATTATCAAGTCAGCCAAAGGAGCATAAATAACAGCAAAAAGTTAACATGCTGGTGGGTAAGGAGCAAGACTGTTAGGACCAGATGCATAAATGGCAGGCTATATACCATGGATTATAAAAATTGAATTAACTGTTTTTGTATTTTTGGGAAAAGTTTTCTGGTTCAGTAAATTTCTGAGTGGTGATTGATGAACAATTTTCCTTGATAATAACCATGAAAGCTCTGTGCCATGGCAACCTGTAGAGTTGCCTAAACATGGAAGCAATTAAATTTGACAGCACAATCACAGAGCACTGAAACAAAGGTCAGAATTATTAATAGGGAAACGGAATAAATAAAAGAAAGCAGAAATACCACATACCAGGCGCTTGTTCATTTCAACCTCCACAAGATGTGCTAGGAGTTTCTCTGTCTCAATCTAGAAAAAGAAAGCAAAGCGGACATGAAGAATCCCGAGAGCAAAATAAACTCTTGCGAAATTAGCCCTAAGCATATAAAGTTGGGTACCTGCGATAACTGTGCAGAATCATCTGATTCTGGTTGTAGGAGCAGCTGTAGAATTAAATAAGACAATCTTAAAAGGGTATATTACTTAATGAATTGAAAGGGAAATCAAACTGAAAATTTTCCAGGAATGTGAACCTGTCTCTTAATGAAAGGGGGCAGAAATTCAAACAAAGCAAATGCCCAAGGTGAAAGCTGAGATGAAATGTTATCGACAGAGACACCTTGCTTGAGCAGCCCATGAATTTCCTGGATTACAGAATGTCAATATAGCAACCAAGAGTACTTCCGCCTCAAAACCAAACACAGAGTTACAAATTGAATCACAACATCCAACTTTAAAAAGATAAGAACAGTCTCCCTTCCAAAGAAAGAGAAAAGGGGACTAGAGATGGAAGAGAACAAAAGCAATGCGTTGAATATTACCTTTAATAAAGCATACACTTCAGGGATGCTTTCTATAAGTCCTTCTGGCAGTAGGATGACTCCATGGTTCTTGTCTAACCAAGCACATTTAAAAAGTCAGATAAAAACACAACATTACTACTGAGATGAAAAAAAGTTCAAACATCTGAAACCTTGTTGTGCTCTTGCTTGAACTGCATCACAAATCTGTGTTGTCAAGTCAAAAAGGGTAAGCTTTGAGGCAGCAACTTCCTCACCAAGAATTACCTGTGAAAAGAATATGAAGTTAACAAGAAAAACACATATAAACACGTCCAAAACCTAGGACAATGCAAGTTGAAATACTCAAATTGACATGGCTTTCGTACAGCACAGAATACTAACCATATTTGGATGAGATTGAAGAGTGCATTCAAGAGCAACATGTGATGCCTTCCGACCCATCAGACGAATAAAGTAATAATACTATAGAAGAATATTTGTTAGAGGCTTAAAGGAGAAAAGCCCAACAAGACAAGAATTATTTTGCAAAAAGAAATTCAGGCTTAGTAGCAAGTAAACTAATAGGTTACCTTCTCAGCAGAGAGAGCATCAGTGCATACATTGCTGATGAGCTGCGAATTGACCTGCACATCAGGAAAAAAACATAAGCAGTTAACCCAAACTGACACCATCGTTAACATCAAACAGTGCAGGTCCCTCAGCTTTCAGTTGTACAACCCACCCACCCCCTCCTCCCACCCCTCAACTCCGATGCAGAAAAAGTTAAAATTACAAGTATTTTCAGAATCCAGTGCAACGCTCCGAATATTTACCTTGCATATTGTATCAAAACCAATGTTTGTTTCTACAAATTGATTCTTGAGGTCTCCATTCAATGTAACAGGAACACCAATCACCTGGAAAAAGATAATTGATATATTAAGGCACACATGTCAAAGATTACTAAACAAAAATTGTATGTAACTTGTTATAATTCAATTTCAGCAAGCGTACTCAGCTAAGAGAATGAAAGGGGAAAAATCAGAAAGGTTACCTTTGTTGGGCATTTTGCTTCAGCAAATGTTTCAGCAAGTTGAGCAGCATCAGTGTTTGATGTTACCCCTTTAAGAAAACACAAAATAGTCTAAGATTCAGTAACTCAAAAAAAAAAAAAAAACATTTCCTACTTATAATTTTAAAATAGTAAAGCAAATTTCACCTCCAACAATGACAAGGCCATCTAATTTCAAATCTTTGCACGCAGTTAACGCAGCATTAACTTGCTCAGTTGTCCTAATCTGATCTTTGGTCCTTCCAAGCAAATCATAACCACCTTGGCAATCAAAAAATTATATTACAAGGCTTGTTAGGTACAAATCACATAATCATGTAATTATATTTCCATAATAGACACATTACCAACCTTGATTTTTGTAGGTTGAAAGGATGTCATCTGTTATCTCAAGAGTCTTTTGTGCAAATAAACCTTCAGAGCCACCTGTGCACACACATCAATTGTCTAGAGAACGTCATTTATCCATTAGTTTCAGTATATTTGTTATTTTTCTAAAACAAAAAAAAAATACATATCCTAACACTCAATCTTTTCATTTATAACGGAAACAAAAGGTAAGGATAACAGAATTAGTTGTTTCGAGATGTTAAAAAACGTTTCCATGACACATATCTTAAATGTCTTTCCAGATATATCAAATGTCAACTTACATATAAAGTAAATCGTTTAAAGAACATAAAGGCCGTAGACCAAAAAAAGGAAATTGGTCTAAAAATCTGTAATGCAGAGTATTCTTGGTAAAGAGAATTATATCTGTGTGGCAATAAATAACCAAAAAAAGCAGATTAAGAAACTTGCAGATGCGGCTTACCCAAAAATCCAAGTAAAGTACTCTTAGGGTTGTGGATTTTCAGAGCATTGTGAAGACCCCAAACGACATTATGCCCACCAGGAGATTGTCTACCACAAAAGACAATTCCAACCCTGCAACAGAAATCAGAATTAAATTTCATGTGAATAAAATTCATATTCTTCCGGGCATGAATCAATATGGATAATTTTGTGGGTGCCAGCATAAACACAGAGAGAATGAGAGAGAGAATGGAAGGCACACCTTATTGCTGGATGCTCGGTGATAATCTGAGCATCAGGAACTTTAGCAGTTGCCCTTAAAAAGTGAGCCAACGGCTGAGCGTAGTTGTGTGGAAAGGCTCGAGCAATGATGTGGGCATCTGCAGGATCTGCAACTGTTGTTGCATCACCAAATTCCACTCTAACTGTAGTTCCCTGAGAAGAAGCCCCACATGAAATGACGAAGAAAAAAAGCTTACCACGTATTCCCATGCAGAAGACCAATGTTGAAAAGGGAAATTTACATTCACCAATAAACATTTAAGTAAATCAATGAGGACTAATAAGTAATATAGAACCCAAACAAGAGATAAAACTTTACACAGCATGAATAAATTGTGGAAGTGACAAAAGTCAAAAGACATAATCGAGTTACTTTTCCAAGTTGCATTCTGAGTACTCCTATAAAGCTTGTACATACATACAAGTAGGAAATCAGTGAAACCATAAAAAGCAAATTCTTCAGTCTCCACAAAACATCAAGAAGAAAAACCAGCATAGCATACTAGCAGCCTATAGAATCTCAAAATTCTTCCGTCGGTTTCCCCGCCATTAAGCTGCCCAACTCTGTCGCATTTGAAAAGATGAAATGCACGCAAGGGAATCAGTTGGACAGAATTTTTCCAGTAACTAAGTACGCGAGTAAATCCTAGAATTGAATAAATATCAAACATTGAGTTACTTAATATTCCCCTCCATGGATTAGAAGACTTGGAAAATGAGATGAAAAAATAAGTGCAAATAACAGACACTTAACCAGAACCGTGTATTACCGAAGACGAGATCTGATCAACAGAAATCAAATTAAGAGTCTGCATGTCAGCAGATCTAGGAGAAAATGAATCAAAACCTCAATTACAACAGCATAAAGATGAGGGGAAATTGGAAGAAAATTGGGAAAAAGAGGAGAATGAAGAGAAAAAAAAAACCTGGAGACAGGGAGGAAGCTCAGGCAGGTAGAGAGATCTGAGTTTCTGAAGATCAGAGAGTTCTCTGGGAATGCCGAAATCCGAATCCATGGCTTTGGTGTGTTGCGTTAGGTGTGTAGTAATGGTTCAGTGTACCGTAGGGATTTTCGGCTTTCGGCTTCAAAAGACCGTTTTTATAGTGGGGAGCGGGACAATGGGCGATACAACCAACCTGCCAAGCCCATTGAGTTTGGTCTGGCTTTGTGATCCCTTTCATAATTCACCTTCCAAATTATTACGATGCAGCCACCCACTGCCTCCTAATTTTACTAAATTACCCCTGGCTTTCGCTTTATTTTCTCAAAAGAAGTGAAGCTTCTCTTACATGATTGAGTTTGATTAGACAAGAAATTTTTTTGCCGATGCAGTATTCCGAGATTTGAAGGAAAATAAGACACAGAGAGGTTGAGGATAAAGAGACTTTTGAAAATGCGCATTAGCTGGGGAATATACTGAAAGGATATTATTGTAAATTCGGAAGAAGCCCCCTGACTTGCCAACAGAACACTGATTGCATCAATACTGCCTACCAAACCATCCGCTGAACTTCTTTGGCTGCTTGTCTAATTCTTTATCCTTCCACCTGGCTATCAAAGAAATTTACCAATCCTTCCTAATACATATAACATATATGTTTCCAATTCTATTATACTGAATTATTTTCATGTAAAACGAAATCCAAAAGGATAATAAACTTGCAATCATGTACTTCCAAAAGTTTGAGAACAGGTCAACTTTAGGCCAATGATCAAAACACATTGTAAAAGTCTGGAACTGATTGATAGTAAAAAATTTTCTCTTTCCGCAGAGACATTTTCTGCTTTTAGAATTTAATATTAAACTATCCCGAGCTTATCTTCACGAAGGCCTGTCATTGCATTAGCCAATTGTTTGAAGAAGTCTTTGGCAGCAGTTCCTATTTATTTACTGTTTTACTTGGTAAAGCCAGAACACTTTTTATATGATGCACCACCCAAACTAAGTGGTGTTTATGTAGAAAAAGAAGAGATATATGCTAATGTCTAAGCGAAAAACTTTCTTTACTTACACCGTGAAAGTAGAGTATTGAAAAAGAGTCTAAACAATACCACCAGCAAACTCCATACAAATACTGTGGACTAAAAGGCAGAGAGAGGTTAAGGAAATAGACTGGTCCAAGACATAAATGTTTTACCATCATCAGTTCAAGAAATATCATGCAAGTGCCCGAACACTTTGGGCTGACAACAGGCCAAAATCACAGCTATTGCTGCTACTCTTAATTCTGCATCGTTTTGGTTCAGGGGTAACCCCATCTAAAAGAACTAGGAAGACTTTTTCACCTCCATCATGTGCACGGGCTATATAGTGTTGACGAACTATCTCTTCCCCTCATTTACGGTGATCTTGACAGAAGCATCAATTATTTCTATTCCAATAAGAAACAAATAAAGAATATAAGCATGCAACATAGAAAAGAAATATTATTACGTACCAAGCAAGATTTAAAGGTCCGGTAGTTTGGTGTTCCAAGAACAACTTTTTACTTAAGAGTCGAACATAAAGAACTGCTTTTATGCAAAAACTCTTAAGAACATTGAAATCCGATTTCATCCTTCTCCTAGAGGCCTTGCATCTCCTGCTCTTTGCAAAAGATTCTTCCACTGAGGATGTGAATATTTTATTCCCTCGTCCTCTTGGAGCCATGCTTTCTGGATCTTTCTTTTCCATGATTTCCTGTGGAATGGCCTCCAGAACTGACTGAGGCAGGTTGGGCAGACAGAAAAGGCAAATGATTTCATCCTTCTCCTAGAGGCCTTGCATCTCCTGCTCTTTGCAAAAGATTCTTCCACTGAGGATGTGAATATTTTACTCCCTCGTCCTCTTGGAGCCATGCTTTCTGGATCTTTCTTTTCCATGATTTCTTGTGGAATGGCCTCCAGAACTGACTGAGGCAGGTTGGGCAGACAGAAAAGGCAAATGATGCCCAGGAACCAAACCAGGGAACCCAACAGCAGGGATTCTGCAAAGCAACAAATATCAAGGATAAATTTAATTTGGATATCATGATAAACAATCCCATAAAGAGAACACTAAGGTTGTTAATCATCCATCCTCCTTACATGTTCATAGTAAATCTTCCAGCATGTGATAAAAAACCATGCTGATTTACTTAATAGTACGGGTGAATATAGCCTCCAAATGATCCCAAGACATGTATCTTTCAGATATGCATATGGAATTCGATGCTAACATAAGTGGGAACTACAGTTACAGTTAGCAAAGGAATGCTAGACTTAGGAGTTTGAATGAAGGAAGTCAAATATTTAAGAATTTAAGCTTAATTCAGTTTAATTCTATGTATGAAATGAATCAAGTCAAATAAGTAACAATTTAGCTCAATTCAGCTTAATATAACATATCTTGAGTTCAATTCAAAGTTTCATTTGAGTTTTTTACTGGTTAACATGAAAAATAATGACAGTGTGACTCAGTTTGTGTTGTAAAAGATGAATCTAACTGAACTATGTTTGAATAGACACGTTAGATGCCAGCCACCCTTGCAACAAAAGGCTCAAAGTTGACTGCGAACAAAGAAAGAAGAGACTTATGACTGACAGTACCTAGTAATGCAGAAAGTGAATAAGCTAATAGAATTTCTTTTTTTTTTTTCTTGAAAGAGTAATTTAAGTTAGTATTTTATATATTTTTAAATTAGTTAGGTTATTCTGGAAACATAAATAACATAGGAAACTTTCAATTCGATTATGATTTTTTCCACAAGGAAAAGAAGTAAAAGTACTATAAATAAGGAACCAAGTACCACCCTGCCATGAGTTTGATTGTGATTTAAAAACTTTTCAGTGTTCCCTTGATTGTTTGACATTACCCTTATTTGGTTACTACTCGTTACCTAGACAAAGGCTACTAAACAAGAAAAGGATTACATAAAATATTTGAGTTATGATATTGGTTTTTTCAGAATCATTAATAGTATTGTTCCTTTCTTGCTCTTCTTGTATTTTCTTCTCTGTTCTATTTCTGTTTTTCATCTCTATGCCCCTCGGTGCTTCTGGTTCTACCTATCTATCTCTTGCATTTTCTCCCTGATCTTCATATTTCCTGAATAAACAGTGTCATTGATCTTCGTACTTCTTAAATAAGCATCAATCTTCCCCTATTATCCTTAGTTGTTAAGATTTTACTTCTCTATCCCTAGTTATGCTAATCTTTTTTCCTTTATATTCCTACGTTCGATCTCATCTTACATAACTTGGAAACTAAGCACAGTGTCCTACTCACCTGGTGTTTTTAACTTGTTATCAGGTCACTTAACAGTGTCTTTTATGTTTTCTTTGAGGGGAATGGTACTGGCAGTCAGTTAAGTTGGTATTTGCTTGTACGATTTGGAAGCTACATACACATTTAAAACAAATTAGTTAAAAGTTAAATTTGACAAAAGGAAAAGGAGGAGACCCAACAAATAATTCCTTCAGGATGTTATTTAAATCCAATAACAATTGTAACCATGCAATTATTTCCACTCTGTTTCATGGAACCATATGTTAAAACCAATTAATCAATTAATCATATGTCAGATATATTAAGAGACTTTCTTGGTATAACCTCACACTAGACCAGGCAAGCTTTCTGAGAGCTACAATTACAAGAGAAATGCAATAAGGGACAGACAGTCCAGGATTCATACCCAACAAGAGCACAGCAGACTCCTGCTTGGCCCATGAAGTGCCAAATGCACTGCCTCCATTGTGTAAACTCAGACGAAGAGCTTGATTCTCCGCATCGAAGCACTGAAGCAACCTCCCCAGTCTCCGACATTCTCCTTCCAAATACTTACTCTTCATCTCTAGATCTCTCACATACATCTTCTTCCTCTCCCTTGATCTCAAGGCAGCATTCCTATTCCTCAATTGCCTGGAAATAAGATCTATTGATTCCACCAACTTTCCATCCAATTCAGGTCACTTAATGACCAGATGGCATCATACAATCACCTTTTTTTTTTCCTTTTGTTATAAATATCAGCTTCAAACAGTCAAAAGTTCAACCAGGAGAACTTTGGAAGAGAGCAAAATATATAAACATCAGCCCAAAAATAATATATGAATCCTCAAGAAATCCATCTTTGCAACCAGTAGAGAGTAAAGAAATAAAGGAAAAATAAACTGATCTAGCCACTTTTAACTGCATATTGTGCAGATCACAACTTGCAAGATCAAAGCCTCACATATAAACCTCCACCCTGTTACTTACACTTTAAATTATCCTCCAACAATAAGCATAATGGCGATCCTTCAGAACTAACCATGAGACCAAAGCTTATCACCTTTGTGGTTAATGATAAAAGTATTTCTAGTTTCAACAACCGTAAACGCTGATAGACAAGTTGAGAGAATGGAAGACGAGAGTAAATTAGCCGTACCTTCTCCGTTTCTTGGCGATCGGATCATTGGCATCGTAGCCGTCTTCGTTGATGTCACCTCCATCTATCTTTTCCTTCTAAAGGACGCTGTTACCAAACTCATCATGGATGTTGGTTTCCTTGTCGATAGGAGCGTCCACAAGATCCTCAACAGAACCGGAGCATTGAACTGGGGATTTGACTAATATATCTGCCAAAAAATCGCAACAAAACTGCTGATTCTCTTCTTGAGGAAGCTCATCGTTCGAATAGTCTTCATTCATCAACAAGCTCTTAATCTCACAGATTTTCGAAGATACTGACTCTGGAGAAGGGTTAGAAAAAGCCTCAACCGGAGATGAATCAGATAGAACAGGGGGTTCTAAATTGAACCAGTCACTGCAATCGACAAACAACGGATCCAATTCGATCTTTTCAACGACGTCGTCACCTGGAAAACCGTGATCCTCCATCCTTCTAAAAGAGGAACAAGAGAAGTAAAAACTACTGTACATTTACAAAAAATCCTTGAATAAGACTGCGAGATTTAATCAGAAACATGGAAAAAATATGTACATATGGACCTAGCTAGGGGAGGATAGCGATCTATTTGAGAGCAGTTTGGCTTTTAGAAATTTTCTTTGGCATCCATGCCTGTTTCTTTGTGGGCAAGGAAACCTGACGCGGATTCCAGCGACTTCTTGAGTGGGGGGTCATCTAGTTAGCCAATATTCTGACGGCACAAAACATATGAAATTGGCATTTCTACGCTGTTACAATAAGTCTCGGTTATAGTAGCTAGGGGAGGATAGCGATCTATTTGAGAGCAGTTTGGCTTTTAGAAATTTTCTTTGGCATCCATGCCTGTTTCTTTGTGGGCAAGGAAACCTGACGCGGATTCCAGCGACTTCTTGAGTGGGGGGTCATCTAGTTAGCCAATATTCTGACGGCACAAAACATATGAAATTGGCATTTCTACGCTGTTACAATAAGTCTCGGTTATAGTAGATCAATGTTGCAGATGTTGTCATTCAACCAATAAGGACACGTCACGTGGAAGCACGGTGAATGTTGCATTTTTAAGTTGCTCTGGCATTATTTAATCACAGCTGTCTTGGCTGTTGATAATGCAGGCCTAAGCTCTTTGTTACGCCAGATCCTGTGCTCAGGGATACTGTTTCTCGTGCTTTAGAAGTGGGTTTTTCAGTTAACTCGGGGATGTTTACCTGTGCAATGTATATCATTAGTTGCCCAAGTGAAAATATTTTGAAGGAAAAACTTGATTGCATTAGAATTTATGGATTTCTATAGAATGGAAGCATGATAATGTTTAGAACGGCTCGACTACTCCTTATGAACTCGGAGGAGAAGTTTGAAGTTGGATTCACATATGTAGTTTGGAGACTCACTTTTTAGGAGGAGGTTATGATGACTCTCATTGCAAGGTTCGAGGAGATAATATGGAAGAATTGTTGGTAGCTTTCGAATCTCATCCTTTTTATTTGTCTTCTTCTGACGAGGAAGGCTCTTATTCTGCAGGTTTGCAAATGGTAGCTGATCTTACTGTCTATGCTCCTGAACTCAAATCTGGATTCTTATTCTGCTGTACTGTAAATTTGGATTCTTATCGTAAGACTTTGATCCTATACAACTGAGCTAGAAGAGAAAGCACATAAGTTGACCAATGTGATTTCTGTTATATTCTGTAAGCTATGAATGCTTGATATAAAATTATAAAACTTAGGACATCAAATCAAAACTATGAAAAGTGTGTTTTAGATATCTTATTGTTCTCATAACGTTCACTTCTGTCTCTATGATAAAAAGTGAAAAAGAAGCTTAGAGAGTATTCTTAGTAAATGATGCAAGTGATTCTTTTCCCCTCTTGTAATTGAAATGTCCAGATAGCTTGTTTGCATCAAAATTAATAAGCTAATTTGTGCTCATTTCTATTGGTTGAAGAAATATGTAAATCGGTGCTTATCAGTATTAGAATCTAATGAATCACATTAGACTCTGAACTTACTATTATCAAGGAAAAAAATAGAAGGATATAGTGATTGTTTATTGAAATCTCCAATTAATTATTAAATTACTGTTTTTATCTGAGAAATATGTATTTCTTGAATGAATTATTTGATCATGGAATTTTTAACAACATGGCTACTAATTTTCATTGTACTTTTAGTCAATTGATAAGTTGGTATAATTACTAATTTTTTACATTGACTCATTGATCAGGTCAGAACTTTTCAACTATTTTATTTTTTCCTATTCTTTCCCAGCATGCTTCACTATGTAATTCTGATTGAATTCTAAATCTGCTCATGCGTTCATGTGTTGGCACTACATGCTACTGATTCTTTTGTTTCCCTGACTTTTATACACCGTGATTGAAGATTGTTGTGAGGTAAATTGGTGGGATAAGAGTGCGACTTGACTATATTAGAGGTTTTGATTTATGTATCAGACTTTTGCCACGGCAAGTCAAAGAGTATAATTAAATTAACATTGTTGGGATTTTTCTGGAGGGGGAGATGGCGCAAGATATTAATACCTCTGTAATATATTATTTGGCTTGGCTTTCCCTAGCTCCCATTTTGGCTTTGGCTTGGCAGGTCAAAGAGTTTATTGTCCCATCATTAAAGTTGGAATATTGAACCAGAAATACATCTAATAAATTTTGGCTTAATTATATCAATGTAAAAGGTACAAGCTATTGTAGACTTCTACATAATGCCATTGATTATTTTGTAATCCGTGACCTTTGTATTAGTCTGTTTAGAGTATTCTAATTTTCATGAGTAGAGATGTCAATTATTATTGATGAATAACAATTATCGGACCTTCAAGATAACTAATTTTTATTTATTGCTAGGACTGATGCTCTATCTTTTTCTTATTGGAGCATTATTAGTTTGTCTGAATTATCCTGTTGATAGAAGGATAATTTTTCATTTTGAAAGAGAGATTATACCAGATTGCTGTTTGACATGCAGTTGTTGAATTATGTATTGGACCTGGAATTTTTTAACAACATGGCTATTAGTTTTCACTATGTTCTATTCACTTGCCATCTTTGACACGTATTAAAGGATGACTTGATTTTTGAAAATGCAAATTGAAAGTATGGCTATGACCATCCCAGATCCATTGTTTTGCTACTGTTTCTCAAGAATTTAATGGAGTTTCAATTAGCTTCAATGCATTAGTGCTGATATGTCCATATGGTACTCATAAAGAACATGTCCATATACTTGATCATAAAAAGATATTCTTTCATTTCGAAAGAGAGATAATACAAGATTGTTGTTTGAAAAGTAACTTTCACTAATCCTCTTTTTATATACTCCATCATTCATGAACTTCCCATCAGTCAGTTCTTACTCAAGAATAATATTGTTGACTATCAATTTTATGCTAGAACTATTGAACAAGGACTTAGACGAAACTACTAGAACAAGGTCATCCTCCAAAGAATATAAAAGATGACCCTTAACTAAACAACTCGGGGTTTGGAAACTATTTATTTCTAACCCTATCATACTCCGGCCTCTTAAAAGTCGTCATGTTTCTTTTTTCCCACACAATTCGAAAAATAGCAAGGGAAATGAGGGCACATGCTTTTTTATACCACAGATACTCTTCCAGGCCCCTATCTCATCCCTTAACGTAACAAACAACCATGGCCCAATTAACCTCAAATAACCCATGAGCCATGGTCAAAAGATTATGCACGATTGGACACTCAAGCAAAATATGATTAAAAGTCTCTTTCGCCCTCCTACAAAGATAACAAGCATTCACTGTAATCTTTCATCTCCTCATTAGCTTCTCGATAGTGAGAATGCAACTTCGCCTAGCCTCCTAACCAAAGAAAGCCGCTTTGAGAGTGACATTTACCTTCTAGTTTGTCAATAAGGGAACTTGATCTCAGTGGGGTAAGTTTTAGTAAGAAGGTTGTAAAAAAACCTAACTTTGAATTTTCTTATAAAGTTGAGGCTCTAAATCGGCTGGTCTTCATTCCCATTCAAGGATATGAGGCAAATGAATTTAGGAAAGTTTCATATTCATCATTTTTCTAGTCATTGAGGCTCTTTATTACCCCCATATACTATTTTCTTGTCCCCCTTTCACCCTCAATTACTTCTAAATGGCTCATGGATAGAAATATCTTTTTTGTCATGCAATTGGAAAATTTTGTGTAAACCTATATCTGAGCGCTCCCTCTCTAAGCCAATAGTTGTTCTAAAAGCTTATCTCTTCCCACTTTCAATGTTCCACCTGATGTACTCCTAAAAATTACATCTTCTCATGCTTATTCTTTTCCACACCTCTTTTTTATACAGTATTAACTCCCCTCTCGAAATTCCAACCTTCATCCGTTGTACCAAATTTTGCATCTATCACCATTTTTTATATAATGCCATTTTCTACCATGGACCCGCCCAATCCACTTTCGTTGAAGCGCTTGGTTCATCTCTACAACAGATGTCAAATCTAGACCACCCAAGATGCAATGATCTTTTCACCTATTCCCCTGCCACTAAATGATATTTTCTTCGATCTTCAGAGTCGCCCCAAAGAAATTTGCATTAGATAGTTTTCAGTCTCTTGGCAACGCTCGCAGGGATAGTCTTAAGGGACAGTAAACAGGAAGATTAAGCAAAGTGCTTTTGATGAGAGTTAGGTGTTCGTCTTTGGACAGTAAATTCCTTTTTTGCCCAGCAAGTCTCCTCTCAAATCTATCTAGAACTGAGTCTCACGTCCTCACATCTTTGTAACTTACTCCCAACAGCACTCCAAAGATACTTTATTGACAACTCAACCTTTTTATGTCTCAACACACTAATCAAACAACAATTACCTCTCCCATCTCCCAACCTTACCAGAAACTGCTTGGAAGTACAAAAGGACATATATGAGGTTGATAACTGCACCTGTATCTAGTTTGCAAAACATTGAAGTATCATCTGTAAAAAATAAATGGATCACCTCCTTAACTTGCTTTCCTTCTCCCATTTTTAGTCCTTTGAACAAACTCAGCTCCTTGACTTTCAACAACAATGCTTCTAGAAGCCTTAGAAAATAAGAAGGACCTTTATTCACTAAAGCTCAATATCTTTAACATATAGTCGATAAATCACCAATTTACATGATCATATATTTTCTCTATATCAAGAAGGTATAAGACCATTTCTCTTTTCCAAAAAAAGTAGATTGTAAACCATCTCATTGGCCGCTAGAACCACATCCATAATTTGTTTTCTTTTGACAAATGCATGTTCTTTTTTTGAAATAAAATTCTACAAATGTACGTTCACATTCACCAATCACTTTACCCATCACTTTTACTATTCTTCTAGCTAACACCTCCACGATGAGTTTACACAATGCACCCAAATAAGTTGGTTGGACAGAATTCCTTTATATTTGTGCCCCTCCACCTTAGTCATCAGTACACAATGATCCCGATGTAGTTCTTTGAATAACTCTAGAATCCCCTTTTTCATAATATTCTAAAATTTATGCAAGAAACCCATTTTAAATTCATCAGGATCAGGAGCTTTATCCTTGCTACAATGCATAAGTCCTTCTAAAATTTTCTCTTCAGGGAACTCTTTTTCGAGTGAAAGACGACTTTCTTCACCGAAGGAACTAAAATTGATACCATCCAGCTTAGGCCTCCAAATTACACTCCTCTAGGTAAATCCATTAAATTGAGTCTATCCATTAGGCTTCTTCAACTATTAGGAGGACATGAACTTAAGAATTAAGAGGAAGGACTACTTGAACAAAGAATACTGCTACGAATAAGACGACTCATAGATTAGGACCTAAACTACTAAAACTAGGTCTTGAACACTATAACTATTAGGAGTAGGAATATGAGTAATAGAAGTACTCTGAATAGAAATATTGCACGAATAGATCTTATTATTTTTGCATAAACAAGAAAAGGGAGAATATAAAAATGGCATTTCTATCTTCTGGACATATTCTAGTGATCACCACATGGAACAATTATTGGGATTTTGGATCAAACCTATGATCATCAGATTAACAAATTCTTTGGTGGTAGTTGTTATTTAATAATTTATTATATTTTTATGTATTGCAATTTATTCTATTTTCATTTACCACTTGCTACCTGATGGTTTGTTTATTGGTATATCGTCGGCAATAAAACAACAAAAACCTTGCATAGAGGGGCACTCTACTGCCAAACTCAGCAATCTTAGGGGTATTTAACCTGATTCCTGCATACCAATATGATCATCATGGAGACTTCCATTGTTCTGTAGATTTTTGATCTATGATTGGATCTTCCAAATAGTTGCTGAACTATAGTAATAAAGGGAGTCAGTTAGCGAGATCAATTAGTTTTCAAGCAAAATCTCTTGTGATTTTCGGATAGCTCAAAACTTTGCTTTAGTTGCTCGTGCACCGGCATTCTTGTCAGTTTTCCTCTTGAAGTTGGCATTAAAGATAACCCAAATACTTAGACTGCATCCAGCTACTTTTACCTTTACCGCCTTTCATGATTTTTTTAAAAAACTTTTTCTTCCTAAAAAGTGATGATTTATTGGACCAAATAGAATAAAGAGTGTAGGAACTCTCACCAAAGCTTTACTGCAAAAGAACTTCAAAGATCTAAGTTCACAGTTTAGCATGATTAACACTTATGTCTAACTTGAAAGGAAATACAAAATTACTAAATAAAAATTATTATTTTTTCTATTTCTAAGCGTAGCCAAGTAAGTTTTACTTACAAATATGTAATCAATAATTCAAAGATTCATGGGTAAAAGATATATATAGCAACACAGGCGCCCAGGCTTTCTATCCTACATGAGCCAAGAATTGAATAAACCAGAATACTGCGTTAAAGCAACTGACAAGCTTTAAAGATAGAACAATACTTTAGAGGATATACCTCTCACTTACTACAAAATCTTACTTCAAAATCTTTCAACCAAAATGCAACTATACCAAAGTTAAAAACCCTCAAATAAATCATTATCCTCTTGCCAATTTGGTGCAATCATGCTTGGCAGTTGTACCAAAGTTATAAAACCTAAGTACATTTCTGTATCACATTTGTAGTTTTTAAACTGTAGCAGTTAATAACAATTGAGAACACTAATGACATACTCGGAGTTGGGAAAGAAAAAGACAGAGCATATTTTAACCTTCCTCCCTGCCTAGCAGGGGAAGTGCCCATCACCATGGACTACAAACCTCTTGTCCACTGTCCACAAAAGGACTTCACCAATTGAAAATTTTCACCTTGTCTTGTCAAGTGCTAGGAAGTAATGAGGGAGGATCGGGACAGATAATCATAACAAGAGGAGACGGTGTCCAATAGCTGAATGCAGAATGCATGAACCAATGTGAATAGACGATGATGCAGTTTAGAGTTCGTCAGCCCATCAGCTGGATGTCTTAAGAATCCAGGATGCATTTGGATGAATGATAATAAGACCCTGCATCGATAATTTGGGGCCTCCTGTTCTTCCAATTGCTTGGTAGCTATGGATGTAAAAACCTGATCTACAACCGCTAAACAAGAAAAAGTAGTCCTCATTTTTACATCCCACAGCATCAAAAAGCCAAATCAAGGAAAGTTTGAGCTATAAAAAGCAGCCCCATAGATATTCAAACAAAAGAAAGCAATTCTACACAGCATGCAAAAGATGAAATACCTAGCAACTGAGGAACCCCAGAATCAGACCCACAAGAAAAAAGAAACAGTGGGCGGAAAATATGAGTCTTTAAAACCAGTTTATAAACAGGTAAAAAACACATATCTTAGAAATGTTTAAGACGAACTAAAGAGATATTCCACAGTGCTACACAGCTACAGTAAGTGACACTAACAGGAACCATCAGCAGCTAAAAATGGTTCCACTCATGGTTCAAAAGCAAACCAAAGTCCAATCCAAAGTTGAAAGAGCATAAAGCAACATCTGAGCCTAAAATGATTATCATACGAGAAAAATGGCAACGCGAAAAGCCAAAGTCTTGCAGAAGGAAACTGAAGAAGAAATTAGGTAGAGTACTTCACTGCTTCTCCTCCCTTTCTCTGTTCCATTGCTCAATCCTGGCCCGGCGTTCCTCGCTACCTTCCCTCGCAGGACTCCTGCTTCGCTTGGGGCTGCTGTGTCTCTTCCGTCCCCCATCTCTGTCGTGCCTATCGTGTCTGTCCCCACTCCTTCCGTTCCCTCGGAAATAATCACGGTCCCGGTCTCTATAATCCCTGTCGCGCCTGTCGTAGTCCCTCCTATGCCTGGGGCTGGCGCTCCTGCTGCGACTCCTACTCGGCCGGTAGCCACGATACCTTCCGAAGAGCTTTCTCCTCAACTCCCTCCCAATGACCTTGACGTGCATGAAATTACAGTAACCACCTCTATTGCAGTTGTTCTCCTCGAACTGCCTGCAGGTGGCCTCGCGGAAATCGGTAACGGGGGAGAAATCGGCAATGATGGGACGGCCGGAGTAGAATCTGCCCTGGAGAGCTTGCAAGGCCGCTGCGGCTTGTTCTTCTTCTTTGAACTGAACGTAGACGTTTCCAATCATGTGGTCGGCAAGATTGTCGCAAACGTTGAGGCTCTCGATCTCCCCAAACTTGCTCAGCTCCTCGAAGATATCCTCGTAGAAATCCTCGAAATGTTCTTGGATCTTTCGCGGGTCGATTGGCTGCCCCTGCGCGTCTACTCCTGGGGTAATCATGTCCGGCCGCTGGTACATGTTGGAGAGGAGGAGCGTCGGCGAGATCGTGGGCCGATTATGGAGCCGAGAGCACCGGTCACCGTGCCGGCAAGCCCCGATCTTGAAGTAGAAGGGGCAGTTCACGCGGTCCTTCTCTGTCCCGAAGATCGAGGCCAAGTGCTCCGCCATTGTTGACTACCAATTTCTAGAAGCTTCGTTTCGGGAGTTTTGGTTTAGGGTTTTCGCAGAGAGAGAGAGAGAGAGAGGGGAGAGGGAGATTAATAAAAATCCTTAATTCATGGGCTGGGGGCTAGTTATTTTGTTCAGAGTGTGATATTGGAGAAACCCTAATTTGAGAACGAAGGGATGAAACCCCACGAATGGGGAAATGGAGTTAGGGAAGGCTCTAGTTTTTCAGGCTTTCCTCCAATTTGGCGTTTCAATTAATCCTCAATCAAAAGCGGATTTGGATATTCGGAAAGCAATTAACGATGTCGCAGTCGTTAGATTTGAGAACCCCCCCCCCCCAGTCACGTGCTAGGCATGTGTTTCATCAGACTGACTTACGTACGGCACTTCTGATTTCTGGTTCTACTCGGGCCGGGCCTTCCCCAATTTCTCTGAAGAAAACGGCCGAACATGCCTCCACTAATATTAAAGAATTTTTTTTTTTTTTTTCTCTTTTTCCAGATCAACAAGTTTTAATCCAATGTACAAGCCAAGTTTCGCGTCATATGGTAAAGTTGAACTACATCTTCATTTTCATTTTTTATCTAAAATTCTTTTTGCATCTTGTTGTATATGCAGCCCAATATGTGTTTTCTTAGTGTTTGATTTAATTATTTATCTTATCTATAAATAAACATATATTAATATAAAATTATATTATTCTATTGGTGCAGTCTTTAATATAATTTATTCATATTTGTTATATCTACTTTTAATAACTTAAATTTTAATAATACAAGTTCTTTATCAAACTACTAAAGAAATCAAACTTGCTATTATACTTGAGATTGTAAGAATCATTCTTGGAAAACTTGTTTTAAAGTTTCTTCAA